GTAGATGTTAAGGACTGACAAAAGTAAAAGTTTTGCGTATTATGGCACAGGTGTTATAGGAAAAGCTTTTGTATAGGCTTCCAATTTAGCTCCCTTGAATATTCACTGGTTCACAAGAAATGGCTTGGGAAACCTTTCAAAGATTCATTTTACTGCAAAAAAAAACAAAAACAAAAACAAAAAAACAGACTTTCTGAGGTCTGAAGGGATTTGTACTTGAAGGCACTCCAGTCAGGAGGGGTTCATGTTGAGCATTCTGCAGACAGAACTGTTTTAAGTCTGCGACAGCCTGAGACACCTTTACGCAGTTGAGCAAAAGCCTCTCCAAAAAAAAAAAAAAAGAAAGAAAGAAAAAATGAACTTTGGAGGTTTTCTTCTATTTAGATGTTTAGGAAGATTTTTTTTTTTTTTAGAGGTTTTTGCTATAGGGAGCGTGCACTCTGCAGGCAGACAGTGAGAGACAGAAAGATAGAAAGCGAGAAATCACCCCCCAGGGGGGAAGGCCACGTCGCAATCCCTTCTCCTCTGTTCTCTAGGGATCTTGGGCACGCATGCACGTGCACCCGGCATGAGTTTAAGCCACCGGGTCCGGGACTCGAACCGTGGTTGACTACGTGGGAGTCCAGTGACATAGCCATTACGCTAACTGCTGATCCCCCAGGAATAGTTTGATGAGAAGTGGTGTTAATTCTCCTTTAAAAGTTTTGCAGAAGGCCAACCAGATCACATGGTGGTTAAGACCACAGAATACCACATGGCTGATTTGGCAGTATGAGTCCTGGACCCACTGAATGTAGACACACACCGGGCATGTGTCTGTGCATGTCCAAAATCCTAATAGGAAGATGGAGCAGAAGAGATTGTGACATGGCCATCTCCCTGGGCAGGGAGGCATGATTTCTCACATTATCTGCCATCTCTTTTTTTTCTTCTTCTCGCCCCCATCTTGTGCGAACACACACAGACACTACAGAAAAAAAATAAATAAATAAAAAATAAAACAAAACTAAAAAAGAGAAAGAATGAAAAAGGGAAAAAAAACTTTTGTAGAATTAGAAACAAAACCATTAGTACCTGGACTATCTTTGTTGGGAGACTGTTATTGGATTTAATTGCTTCTGGTTGGTTTCTTTAGGCTTTCCATTTGGTGTGATGATACAGTAGATTTGTCTTTTCATGTGTTTGTGCTTGCTGGAGAGACAGAAACAGAGAGACAGAATGTGATAAATTACCCCCCGCATAATGGCCATGTCACAAACCCTTCTTCATTCTCAGGATTTTGAACACACTTACCTATAGTGAGTTTCAAGTCTCTGGGCCTGGACACTAACTGTGATTGGTCATGTTGGAGTCCAGTGGCATAAACATTATGCCATCTGCTTGTCACAATCCAGGTATATTTTATGTGTCCAGAGGTTAGTCCACTTCCTCTAGGTTTTTTCAATTTGTTGGTGTATAGTCACTGAAAGCATTCTATAAAAATCTGTTTTATTTCTGTGATATCTGTGGTAATATCACATTTTTCGTGCCTTATTTTTTCTGGGATTTTTATTTTTGTTTTTTCTACTTAATGATTGGGCTTATTTTCTCAAAACCTCAGCTTTTTGGTAATTGTTTTTTTCAGTCTTTGCTATAGGGTGTGTGCACTTTTTGGAGAGAGACAGGAGTGTGTGGGGGGGAGTGAGAAATCACTCTTCCTGTGGGGTGGTCAAATCTCAGTATCTTCTTTATTCTCCTCTTGGAATTTAGGGCATGCACACATATGCATCCAGTGAATGCCAGTTCCAGGACTCAAATCGTGCATTCGGTCATGGAGGATCCAGTTGCCTTAACCGCTATACCACCTGGTTAGCCCTCAGTTGTTCTTTTATTCTATGTTTTATTTATGTATGCTCTAACTTTTATTATTTTGTTTCTTCTACTATTAATACTTTTGAGCTGTCTTGTTCCCACTTTTTCAGTTTGCTGGGATAAGTTATTAGGTTATTTCTCTCTTTTTTAATGTGTGTGTGTGTGTATGTGAGTGATAATGGCTATAGACTTTTCTCTTAGGAGTGCTTTGATGTGTCTAAAAGTATCTGGAGAGTTGTGATTTTATTATTATTTGTTTCAAGAAATTTTAATTTTATTTTTAATTTATTCAGTGTATTTAAGTTGTTCAGGGGTAAATTATGTAGTTTTCATGTATTTGTGAAGTTTTGAAAGCTTTTTTGTTTGAGTTTAGTTTTATCTATATGTGAAGAAGTATATAATTAACATATTTATATCCATATTAATTAGTACATATATATTATATATATATATATATATATAGCAGCAACACAGATATAGCAACAAAAAAGTGCTATATATAATTTCTGTTCTTTTAAATTTTAAAAACATATTTTGTGATCTATTATGTGGTCATTCAAAAATATTCCATGTGTCACTGAGAAAAATGTGTATTTTGATATTTTGGCAAAATGTCCTATAACTGTTAACTAGTTGTGTCATCTTTTGTGTCTTTATTTATTTATTTATTGTACAAGTTATATTTCCATGGATGACAGTAGGGTCCATACTAATTAGTGTATTGACAATTAGTCTGTTCATGTCTAGCAGTCTTTGTTTTTGATGTGGGATGCATAAAGATTTATAATTCTTCTATCTTCTTGGTAAGTCAATCTTTTTAGTACAGTATCATGTCTGACTCTTTACTCTTTTTTTTAAAAAGTTTTTAAAATATGGTGCATGCACTCACCAGAAGGAGAGAGAAGAAAAGTGAAAAATATTTCCTCAAGTGGGGTAATGGCTACACTGCAATCCCTTCTCCTTCTCCTTCACTCTCCTCTCAGGATTTTTGGCATGCAGCACACTGAACCTGGTGTGATTTTTTTTTTTTTTTTAAGCCTCCAAGTCTGGGACTCAAACTGCACAGTCAGAGATTTGGTATCTAACTGCCTTAACCTCCATGTACCTCCTAGCATATGCTCACCCTCTCTCTCTCTCTTACCTTTTCTCTCTTGCTATTTAATTTTAGTTATTATTATTATTATTTTATTTGCCATAGGGCACATACTCTCACCGGGCAGTAGGTGAGAGGTTGCATAAAGCCAGCCACCAGGTCCAGCTCCAAAACTTGAACCATGGTCAGATATGTGGTATCCCAGTACCTTAACCACCACACTGCCTGCCAGCCCCTCTGCCCCCATATATTTTTTAATATCTTTGTTTAATTTCAATTGACTAGTACCTCATATATATGGCTTAGTTATTGTGGTAGAACATCCTTATCCTTCAGTGTTTCTCTATTAACTGTGATACTGCCATTTACACCAAGATATATGTGTATTATGTTAAAGTACAACATCCTAAATCATCTATTATTGAGGGTATTTAATATAAATCAGTATTTCTAAATATATCCCCTGTGGATGAAACACAGAATTTCTTTTGATAGAACTGTGAATATTATAAAATATATTAGCATAGAGTCTTTTTTTTTAGAATTTCTAGAATGGTAAAAATTTAGATCAGTTCATGGAATGGAGGTTAAGGTAGCTGGATCCCACATGGCCAATAGCTTGCTTTGATTCCTCAACCCAGTAGCTTGAGAACCACAGTAGGCACATGTACAGCCATAGCCTAAATCCTGAAAGAAGGAAGAAATGTAGGAGGGCAAATTGTGTCATGAACATCCCTAATGGGGGTGATTTTTTACTTTCCATGTGCACTCCTCAGCAAACACATGAGCCCTCCTGCAAATTTTTTAGCAATTTTTTCCTGGGTTTTCATGGTATGGTTCTCTTTATCAGTAAATATTAGTGGTGTTTTTTGAGATACTGTCTTTTTTTTTCCAATTGTGAGTTCTCGTAAACCTAATCAGTTGAGCCTACATCCACTTTCATTGATTAGAATAGCTTCAGTTACCACTTGAATTTCTGCTGCTTCCTAAATATTTGACTACTGAAATGTCAGAGATGATGTGCCCAAGATTCCTCTGTCTACTGCTCAGTTTTTTCCAAATTTTAATTTTTAGCACCCATATCTATATGCCTGCTTAAACAGAAAGAGTTCAGTTAACTTTCTGTTTGGTTTCAGTGCCAAACAAATTAGTACCAATATTTTTCTGCCTTTTTTTTTTTTTGGAACAGTTTTCTATTTTGTATTCTTATTTCTCTACTGCCTGATATTGGTGGTCATGTCTTCACTTGATTTTAACCCTATTAAATTAAGATTATCCTCAGTCTGCAATCTGTGGATAGCTCTTAAAATGCAAATCTGGTTATATAATGTGTCACTTCTTTTGGTCTCTTATTATTTATGTTCTGTGCTTTGTTAAATAGTTGATATTCATCTTTATGTGGGCACTATCAGTATTTCTGAATGCACAACAGTCATATAAAGATGCATATAGATATACTTCTACCTATGGGTAATTAACAGTATGTACATGAAATATTTTATTGGAATTAGCTTAAGTAATTAAATACAAAATCACTTTGTGATCAGTTCCTTAAACAACTTTACTGACTTTGTCTTTTATCATAGACAAGGAATACGTACTTGGATGGACTGTTTCTACTTTTATTAATATTAGGAACATACTATCTGTTTTCATTGGAAGACTGCTATAGGTGCATTTTCATAAGAACATTTATATAGATGTTCTTAACGTCTTTGACTCAAAGTACAACTTGATAATACAGAAAAAAAAACCTTTTTTTTTATTAGGCTTGGTACCATAAACCTGTTTATAAGTTAGTTAATCTAAAACATTGCTCCAGATTTGTATTTAGTACTTACGTGTTTGTATGAGATCATAAACACCTTGACATAGCAGAAAATTATGCTTTCATCCCTAGTAGCAAAAATATTTGGAGATCTATAAGGGAATACTTGTAATATTTTTAGCGATGAATAAGTTAGCATAGAGCTAGAACATTTTTACTTCATTTTTTCTCCCTTTGCAAATAGTTTACAGAAATACAGAGGCACAAACATGCAGAGAAAGTAAATTTCCCATATTATGCTCTATTTCCCAGGGCTGATAAGGTTAAATGGATTTTTACAGGAGTTCATGTCATTTGAGGATGTCTCTATGAACTTTACCTGGGAGGAGTGGCAGAGCCTCGAAGATGCTCAGAAGATTCTGTACAAGGATGTGATGCTAGAGACCTACAGCAACCTGGTGTTTTTGGGTTAGTGGAACTCCCATATAGCTTCCTAAAGTAATTACTTTCTCCTTTTATAGTAAATGTACAAGAGTTTCATAATATTTATGCTATTTAGAAGTGAGATTTCATTCTGTGGTTAATGTAAGTGGCACTGTTCTTTAACAAAATGCTCAAATCCACCCCTCTATTGCACAGTTGATAAAGCTGAACTGTTGTAACTCTTCAAATAGCTTACATGAATGATTTGGCAAAAGTACACACTGCTTTTCATGAACAGGACACTGCGTTGCCAAACCTGCAGTGATCTTCATGTTGGAGCAAGAAGGAGAACCATGGACATTAAAAGAACTTTCCAACCGGAGCCTCCCAGGTTAGACAATACATACATTTTAGGGAGTAGTGTAATGTATTTTCTTTTAAACAGCTTGTATTTTATTGAGAGGGAAAAAAAGTGAGTAGTAGTCAGGTTAAAAAAAGGATTATCTTACTAGGATAAGAGTATGAAAAATGTGGTATGTTATTTTTTTAATAGTCCTAAGGGAAGACATGTTTAGGGTGATTAGTATGTATTTTTACTATATCCATATCCTTTTTAAGTAGCATTTTTGCTTAAGCGACAAGACTTTTGGCTTCTTCAAATAGATCTAGAAAATTATTCTCATTAGCAAAGAAACATTACACAATACCCACCATTATAAGGAAAAAATAAACAGGGAAAACAAATGACAGATGGAAATCTTTCAGTGTAAAATTACAGCAAGACATATGGTAGATATTTTGAATATTTTTAAAGGTGTTAAAGGAAAGGGAAACATAAAGGAACAAAATAAAACCACTCAGCTTTCAAAAATATTAATGTAAATTTTTACCATAACTTATTAAGAAGAAAATATTTTTTAGTAGAGAGCAGTACCAATATTAGAAATATACGTGAGCAGTTTAGAAGAAATTCTTAGATATAATTTATGGAAATGGTTGTCTTTTTCTGACCAAGGAGGATTGATATGTGAGATATTACTTGTAAATAGAATGAATATAGAATAGGCTATGGTAAGAACAATTCTTGTTGCCCAGTATATAGATCAGGTGTGGAAGAAAGCATTTTACAAAAAGCCTAACTGTCTCATTCTGCAGAAGATACAGGACATGCATACTATAAATGTAGAGAATGTGAGAAATTATTTTTAAAAGTAATTTTTACAGTACATTTTAAACACAGAGTAGAATATTCCTATTCATATAATGAATAAGAGAAATCCTTACTGCAGAAGTAAAATCTAGCTTTTCATCAGATAATGCATACAAAGGAAATACCTAATAAATACAATAAACATCAAATAGCCTTTTAACAGAGATCAAAATTATGGAGTGCCACAGAAATCACAGAGAAGTAAAACCTAATGATGTGAACAAATTATGAAAGCTTTCAACTGTTGTTGTACATGAGGCAAGTTTTATTGTAGAGAAAAAGAGTAGATAAAACAATATAGGAATTTGTGTCTGAACACACCTCTTACTGACCATCTGAAAACTTATACAGGAGAGAAAACCTCTGAATGTAAACAATGTAAGAAAACGTTTTCCCAGAATTCAGACCTCACTGTACATCAGAGGAGTCACACAGGAGAGAAACCCTATGCAAAGAAACTATGTGGAAAAATGTTCGACAAGAAGTCACACTTCACTGTGCATCAGATAACTCACACTGGAGAGAAATCCTATGAATGTAAAGAATGTGGAAATTCTTTCAGTTCCAAATCAGTTTTGAATAAACATTGGAAAACTCACACAGGAGAGAAACCCTATGAATGTGAGCAATGTAAAAAAAAATTTTCCCACAAGTCACAGCTCACTATTCATAGCAGAACTCACACAGGAGAGAAACCTTATGAATGTGAACAATGTAGGAAAACTTTCTCCCAGAAGTCAAACCTAACTGTGCATAGGAGAGCTCACACAGGAGAGAAACCATATGAATGTGAACAATGTGGGAAAGCATTCTCCAGGAAAGGACACTTCAATGTACATATGACAACTCACAGCCTAGAAAAACCCTATGAATGTGAGCAATGTAGGAAAATGTTCTCCCGGAAGTCACTCCTCACTGAGCATTGGAGAACTCACACAAGAGAGAAGCCCTATGAATGTGAGCAATGTAGGAAAATGTTCTCCCGGAAGTCACACCTCACTAGGCATATGAGAACTCACAGGAGAGAAACCCTATCAATGTGAGCAGTGTAGGAAAATGTTCTCCCATAAGTCAGATCTCACTGAGTAATGGAGAACTCACACAGGAGAGAAACCTATGAATGTGTACACTGTAAAAAAAGTTCTTCTGCAAGTCAAACGTCATTTTGCATAGGAGAATACACACAGGAGAGAAACCACATGAATGTGAACAATGTGGGAAAGCATTCTCTAACACAGGAAACTTCATTGTGCATAAGAGAACTCATACACCAGAAGTCACACCTCATTGAGCACTGGAGAACTCACACAGGAGAGAAACTCTATGAATGTGTAGAAAAACGTTCTTCTGTAAGTCACACCTCACTCTGCATAGGAGAACTCACACAAGAGAGAAACCCTATGAATGCGAATGTGAACAATGTGGGAAAGCATTGTCCAGCAAGGGATATTTCACTGTA